TTTTCTGTAGCTTTCCGAATGAAAATCGTCTTCTTTGTCAATGAGCAAAGAGAATTTGGTTAAGTACGGCCCGGGTGTCATTGAACCTGAACGCGAGGAAGTTCAAATTTCATTCATTAAATCGGCGGGGCCCCCGGCGTCGTCGCAACGTCGAAAATAGCCGTGCGAAAGAATACGAGATGCTCGTAAAAACAGGCTCGTAAAGCTTTTTCAGCCCGGTGCCATGGGAATGTGTGCACGCGCGTGAAATCCGGTGGCCCGGTGGCACGACGACGGTCTGTGCAGAACCTCCACTGAGAAAGCCCCTCGTGGACCCCTTTTACAGCCTCAATGATTTCACTCTGTTTAACAGAACAGAAACAGGGGCCACAACGATCGAATTGATTTATTCGCAGTTAACGAGCCAGCTGATGACGATCCGCGGCAATTAAACGACGAGGATAACTCTCCCGGTTCCGGCTGACGGTCTATTTTCGACGACACTTTCTTATGTCCAAGTACCGAGGAGCATGTAATCGTTCGGACGGGGCCCAATGGGGCTCGAGACACAGTCGGTAACATTTCTAGCTGACAGAGATACAACTTTTGTCTGAAACATTTCTCGCTATAACGAAGAAAAGATTTTACAATAAACAATTTCATTTATCAATTAATTATTGACGCTAGCGAAAAAGTTTATATATAGAAGTTGTAGACACTGACGTCCTCTGAACTTTTACTCCCGTATCTGCGGCAGTAATACTTTTTCATCCCGCATTTGCGAGAATAAAGACTTTTCGTCTCGCTTATAGTGTATAAGGGAAAAATAAGCGATTTTACTTCCGCTTTTCAGTTAGTAAAGTGGCTTTTGCATTTCAGCCGTGAATAAATATGATTAATCGGCATTTTATGGGTACTGACGAAATTCGGCTCTTCCTCCGTCTAAACTGCGAACTTTTGACAAAAAATTTCGTTTTTCATCAATTACTCCTAAACCATTGGACCTACGAGAAAATTACATACAACCTTTTTTTATAGCTGACAAGTAGAGTTGCAATTTTTATCTGAAACATTTTTCGCTAGCTTCTATAGTTAACGAGTTATTGACGAAAAACGAAAAAACAGTTTTTCACAAATTACTCGTTAACTATTAACGATAGAAAAAAATGTTTAGACAAAAGTTGTAGTTCAAATCGTTAGCTATAAAAAAAGGTCGTATGTAATTTTCCCGTAGGTCCAAAGGTCTGGGAGCGAAAAATGAAAATTTCGATGAATTTGAAGAGAAATCTTGAAAGAATCTCATTTTTTTTCTTGAAATTTCGAAAACTGGTTTAAATAAAAGTTGTAGGCACTACTATTATCTGAAAAAAAGGTCGTATACAATTTTCTTCTATCTCGAACACTTCAGAACTAATCGATGAATTATTTCGTTCATCACGTGTTCCCGGACACCAGCACTTCCAATTTTTTATTTGTTGCCGTTTAAAGTATGTTAATTTCTTAGTTATTTAAATAACTCAAAGGTAGAAGCAACAATTCTAAGAAATATTTGCAACTGAGGCCTCGTGGATCGCGCGAGAAGCGAGGAAAATAGGGGTACGCCGGTAAATCAGCGGAGCTGATCGAAAACCGCGAGTCTCGCACGTTTCGATGCCAATTAAACTTACATCCTGTCGCGCGATTTTCTGCCCTGTCCCTCCGACTCGTTAGCAGCCCTCCTAACGCTCGTCACCGCGAACTCTCCTCTAACGAGGCGAGCCGATTTACCACCTTTCGTTCCCTCTTTTGCCCGGTCAACGCGATTTCCAAGCGGAACCAGGCGATAATCGAGAGTAACGAGACGCAACAGCTTTTTCGGTTGTTCGTTAAGGTATTCTAATACAAAACAGGTTTCTCCAGGTGAATAAATCGTCATGAGACGTATATAGAAATTCATCAAAAATTAGAAACAATCTCCAGGAAATTCTCTGCTTAAACAAATACGTCAACGTGAATGAATTGAATTCCTTATTCATTCCTGATGCATTGAATCAGTCATTCGTTTTTAACATAGAAATATTTATTTATTTATGCTCGAGTCGATTTGTAATCTTTTTAGAATGCTGGAAGCCGCCAGACATATTTGAGAAATTCCACACCCAAATAATTCCTATTATTACTCATTGTTATCGAACCGATACCATTCACTAAAATCACAAGTTGCTACGAACAAAATTACGAATTTACGTCAGCTTCGAGGAATCGAAAGACATTAAAAATAGTTGCCGCGCGGTTATATGCGTCTCTGATCACGTATAACAAAAGTTACGTAATTTAAGCTTCAAACACTATAAATCTCATAGCTACGAACGAGAATTATAACAGAAAAATAATAATAATCACAATAAATTGCACCGCAATCTCTGAATAAATTAACCAATCGAATTTTGAACTTGGAAGTGAGTCCGAAAAGCGAAGAGGCTGCTGTTTACTATTTTTACAGATTCTTCAAAGCTGAGGATCGTTTCAAAAAACTAATAAATCTCGACTGCAGTTTGGCTATTATTTTTCTTCCATGGAAATTCACCGTCGTGAACGTTTCGTCGAATTGCACCGATCAAACGTCGCCGTGTAATCAAACATCGATTCGTGTTTTGTCGCGAATCGTTTCACGTTTCCCGTCTGCGTCTCTTCGCAAAATTCATTCGTGGGCGCTGTTAGGAAAAAAAATGATTATAGGTGTGAGATTCGTTGAATAGAATTTCTGCAACGATTGGAGTTTCCGAGAAGAATTATTATACACAGCAGTTGAAACTTGAACACACACGATTTTCGTTAGCCACTTAAATCGATTTCTTATAATAAATATCGAATTTTATTAATAACATTCATTTTATTCCTATTCACGACGATGGACGAGGACTCGTGCTATCTCTAATTACATACACAACACATTTACACACATTGACGCTGTATAAATACAAAGTAACTCGTTCAGATGTTTAAGCAACGTTATCAATTTCTATGATACTTAGGAAATAATTTATTGGCTTATCGTGAATGAAAAATCTACTTCTAACGTCAGTATTAGATATTTTCCCATCGTTTTGAAGAATGATGGAATTTATATTTCTAACGAGAGGACATAAACACGTGCATGTGAAATTTATTCGATTCTAAATAAGATCTAAATAAGTTNAAATATAATTGGATTAAAGGGAGTTTTGAAATTTTGATTGTACGAGTTTTTCGTTTTCCTATCCGTCAACTTGAACCAATGAATGCGTGTCTAGTTTTAGTTTCAAGTATTTCAAGCGTCTCGAATCCTTCGGATTCCTGGCGTCTGAAAAGAGTCTATCCTCGTCCTGTCAGAAGACAATTCGATACCCGGCGAAATCAATTGGCAAACCGGTGACAAGATTCACTGGGAAACTCGGCCAGGCGCCTCTTGGCCGTTCATCGAGATAATCCGGAAACTCGTTCTAGCGTTGCCATGGCAAATGTCCAATCTGGACCATGTACCGTCTAACGACGCGTTAACTATGAAACGCACCGGGAATGCGGTCGTGAAAACTAAAGCGAAAAACACCGGTTCCTAATATCCTTCACGTTTACACACAACCACGATCGAAAAGTTCATAACATGCAGGGAGTCGTTCGCGAAATAATTATGATAAATCAAATTGATATTTATAGTAGAAAATTAACTATACTCGATGCCATAGAAAAAGTAAGATCACACTTAAAGATTCATAGAAAAGATCGGATTTAGTATAAAATCATACAATCTAATCTAATCTAAAACTACTTGTTACGTAATAAACCTTTCTTGACACGATTATTAAAATATGTTCCCTTTCCGCATGCTTCGACTTTCCGTATCTTCCACTTCCACGCGGCTATAATTAATCACGGAAACATAATTTTAGACGAGGTTTGAATCACTTCATGAAGACAGAGTAACACCTATCGCGGGAATCTCGAGCACTGACCGTATCTAATCTGATCCGACTGTGACGATTAAATAATCGGTGATTTCGACGTGTTCGAAAATTAATTACGTTCGTATGACCAGAGATAAGGGATGCAACTATCGAGATGTACTGCCTGTGCATTATCTAATCTCTATTATCGATTACCCAGAGGTCTTGACCCGATAAATCGTTGGTATCACTGGGGAACGTAACAATTACACGGTCCGATAATAATCGACCGAAGAACGGTTGTACGTTCAGTAGTCTAGAGGTGCAGATAACAAACGCCTAGTGACTATGTACTTACCCGAATAAGATTAGATTTATCAGGATGCATAGAAAATGCATCTTGTCTTAACTCTGATATATACTTGTATGGATTCAGTGTACGAAAAGCATTTAATAAATATTGAATTGAAATTGAAATATTGAATTTAAATAAAATAGAAGGGCATTTCATTTTACATTCATCGATCTAATATTTGTTAGAAAACACTTTTGCTCGAGCTATTGATAGATCGTCGAAACTCGGGGAGCTATTAGAAACCAGGGTGAAAATGCATGTTTGAAAAGCACTATCGCGCTACATGCAAAACGACTCAGACCACGCCTTCGTGCGTGGCATTTTCGCAACTAACGACTGTGTTTCATTCGCGCGATTTCTAAGCGGGAACCCCGCATTTCTGGAGAGGTTACTTGGACGACGACTTCTAAGCAGGATGCGCGAGAGTATTTTTAGAAGACGAGCGTGAATAATATTTTGACGCCTAGCGTATAACGGTTTGAAAACTTTCCTTAACGCTTTTTTCCAAGTTCGCGGATATTTTAGGAAAGTTCAAATAACTTGGACGGATCAGAAATAGCATCGAGTAAAGAGAAATTTTATTTCAACGTTAATTCCAGATTCTTTACATAATTAAATTTCTTTCTTTCCGCGTAAAATCCGCGTTCATATTCGCAATGAATTTTTGCGAATATTAGTCACGAAAAAGCTTGCGATCGGTTTTATAAGACATATAAAAGACGTATAAAAAATAATCGCTATAATCAGACGTGGTTGCGACTTACCATTCCGTAGCAAAGGCTGACAGTGACGGCAGAGGATGGATCACCTTCCACGGTTCCGCTGTAGAAGCAGCCAAGTTCATTGCCAGGGTGGTATTCTTTCGTAGTAGTGTCTTCAGTCATATGTGTAACCTGCACGTGCATCATAAATTAAATTGTATCAAAGTCCATTCAACTGTGCATATTAAATGAAAGAAACAATCAAATTAGCATATATCTGTTTGTTTAAATTTTTTGACAAAGGTTCCTCAAGTGTTTGCAGTAAATAAAATGCAGTAAATAAAATGTTGGTCTACATCGAAAATGAATGAAATTAACTCTTATATCCACCTGTCATATTAATAATATTTATAACGCGTTAATAATAACTCATAATAATGGATTCAAAACACGAGGGACACAATTATAAAAAGATCAATTACATATGTATTTAACGCTACACAGAAGGGTCATTACGCTTTGATTAACATGGAAGCAGCAACGATAATATCGCGTGCATTAGCATAATAACACACGAGACGCGATCGAGAACATTTATCTGATACTCATAACAGCATTAGCGGCAGTGTGTATCAAGTATATCTATGAGACGTACCAAAGGGGTGGAGCCAGAGTCACCTCGGCTCACAATCGGTGAGTTAACTTGAGAAAATGAATGAATAATGTGAACAGATTATACAATATGAAAAATTGAATGAAAATTATGGAATATGCGAATAATTTAATGAGAAATGTGGACAAATTATTGTCTTACTTTAATGTTTGGCGAGACGAAACTGTTGTCGTGAGACAGACGCAAGTGGAACTGTCTTCCGAATGCGGTGAACTTGTACTGAGGGTGAAGGTCCCAAAACTCCCCCGTTGCGTGACGAAAGTGACCACTTCTAACCCTTGAGACTTCAGCTGTAACATAAACAATCATCTTACGCTCCCTTCATTCTTTATAAAATTTTTTGACGAATTATAATAATTTTTTGATAAAATATAAGAGAAAATCGGGAAATGAATCTAAATTATTTTAACACTAGATTGCCCAAGTAAGTCATTTTGACTGCTTTTGGGCAATATAGGTATATACTAAGTTTCAGTCTTTATAGTGTTAGTCAAAAGAAATGTAATTTTGCTAATTATAAAAAAAGAAGACATTTGCGTGAAAAACGGGCATTCAATTCTGCGGGGTTTAGACTCGGTATGCGCGTTAAGCACGGGCGGCGTGCTTGAAATACGTTTACACAATTCGAGACATAGTCGCTGTAACTAGTTTAGGTAGACACACATACGCGGCTGGTAATCTCGCTGACAGCCGCGAAAAGTTGGCAAAGCGAGCTAGCGGCTGCGTGATAAAACGCGCGTGTCGCGTCTCGAAAATACTCACGCACACCTCTACAACCCGAGTAATTTTTTCTATGTAAATGTCTAAGAGCCTATCTAGTTTCTTATGTAAACATGTTTTACGGTAAAGGCTACTGTTTCGTTAACTGTTCCCAGCCCGCGAGACTATTAATTTTCGATTCGAAATGCGAGAGTATCAATCATTCCGCGCTTCGTCATCTGCTTAATCGTAAAAGAAACACAATGATACGAGACTATTAAAAAGAAAATCTTCTGTTATACAACGTCATCATCTGTACAAACGATGTCTTCTTTGAGGAGAACTTGGAAAATTCTTTATCATAATGTTTAAAATTATCAATTCAATTTCTGATTCGCTTAATTATGATAAGAATATTGAATGACATCGTTAATTGAAAAATTTCATGGCATATTATAAGAATTAAGTGAAGGGCAAAAAAATTTATTACCGGACGGTCGTAATGCGTGGTCATTCATATTGTAAAAATTAAATGAGGGATAAAGAAATTTGTTACTGCGTATAATTGTTAGACGTGATCATTAAGATCATCGATCCTGCGGAGGCACGCGAGCCGAGCACTCGAATTGAAGCAATTAGACCGCGTTCCGACGACGATCCGCGCAACGTGTAAACGCGTGATTCCCGGAGCGTATCGACGAACGTGCACCACCTTTATCAGGATCACGTTCGCCTCGTTAAGCTCTCGATTGTGCGAGACGAGCCGGCGCATGCCTGCGCATTGCACACGCGGGGCCAGATAAAAAGCAGACGATCCGACGCGACCGGAACCAGATTCTGTTCATACTTATGTAGATACATGTGTTACGTATTTATAAAGGAGCCGATCGAATCTCTGACCGATTCTGCGAACTAATCCAATGTGATGGTCATTGCCAATACTCCTATGATGCTATCCGTGGAGAAACGTTTTTGCATTATGCACTAATTATAAAGATAAGGATTTGCAGATTTTTTTTAACAATTAACAATTCAACTTCTCTAAATCTTAATTAAGAATTGGAAAATGTTTTAGTTAAGAATTAAAATTGATTGGAACTCGGATCAGAAGTAGAGGGCGTTAATACTTCCAATACACTGGGGATACACACAATACTTGGGGAGCATATTCTACATGCGAAAATAAGAACGAAATGCTATTTGAATTTTTCTCAGAAACGCTTTATTACAATCTTATAAGCAAATAAAGTTATATAGAATTGATCACGCGAAGGATTAAAGCAACGGATTAATATCTCCGTTGCTGAAATGCAACAAAATTATGAAGATATTTATTCTGTAATATGATCCATAAAAAATCGATGTCAAGCTTGTATTTACGCCCAAGGACGACATTTTGAAATAATCCGATAAGTATGTTCGATCTTTTAATATTCAGTAAAGTAAAATTTGCCTAACTTTATTTGCTTATAATTTTGTAATAAAACGTTTCTAAGAAAATAACATTTTGTTCTTATTTTCGCGTATAGGATATGCTCCCAAAGTTTGTCCATCAAAACCCGAGACACCCTGTATAGGGTGTTCTAGAAAAAGTATTAGAGCCGAAGAGAGGTGAGTCTAGACGTTTCTGAACAATAATTTCCTTTGCCAAAATGTAAAGTGAGGCATGGTTTTTGAATTATTAATGAAAAAACAGTGACCAATGAGAGCGCGCATAAGGCCTGCACTGACAAATGGCCGAGCGCAACGATCCGAGCCACCACTGCCATGGCTGAGCGCGAGCCCTACACGTCCTCTTATTGGTGCTCAGTGTTTTTCATTAATAATTAAACAACCATGGCTCACTGCATTTTACCAAAGGAAATTGTTGTTCACAAACACCTCCAGATTCATCACTTTTCATCACTAACACTTTTTCTGGGACATCCTGTATAATTAACACGTTGCTTCGATAACATTGATACTGTGTACAACTGATTATGAAAGAAATAATTGTATGATTAATCGACTTACCGAGGACCTCGTAATCTCCGGTGATCTTCTTCAACTGTACGTACTCCAAATCGGACTTCGAGGAAAACGTTTCGCCTTTCTTAGATCCATTCCGCTTCCTCAGTAATTTCTCCGACTTTGCAGTCACTGTAACAGAACCAAGTTAAAACGATGATTTATTTATCAATTTATCCTGTATACAATTTATTTTAGAACTTAATCGTGACTGCGGAAGGGCGAGGTTCATCCGTTCGAATCTCGTGAACCCTGACCTTCGACGTTCATTAGGCACAGAGAAACAGAAACCGAATAGTCGTAAAAAATGTTCTCGGTCAGTCGACGGACGTTTCATCGAGATTACGCAAGCTCGTTAGGCTGATTTCCAGCCGACAAACAGTTTCCTGACTTCCAGGTAGGATGTTTAATAGTAGGCAAAATTTTACCGCGCTGTGACATTGATCAGACGTCGAGTCGACCGAGTCGGGGAAAAGTGGCACGGAAGCACACGCGTTTTTCGTGGAATCGTGGCACATTGTAGAGCGTTTAAACCCGGCTAATTGCGAGTAAATGGATGACTGAACAGGCTGGAACCAGGTAATTGCCGATGGAAAAACAGACACACACGCGGTTTACTTCTCTTCTAAAGAAATTTTTCATCGGTATCGGTGATGAGATCGACAGAAATCGAGAGCTCGATCGATTTCCTTGAAACCAGTGCCGTCGACAAATTCTTTGTACAATTGTAATCCTGTTTTACATGGAAATTAGACTCTGTTAGTCAGGACGGGAATTTGAGTAATTGCAGGCGTGGCTCACTGAACAATTAACAATCAAATTGGTAATGCAGTTGATCCGGAATCAATGAGGATCGAATGACTCTTTCAATGTGTACCTGGAATCCTTAGTATTTCAGAAATGCTTCTGATATTTCATTAATTGCATCAATTAACTATTAAATTAGTAATATAATTGATCTGGAATCACTGAGGATTGAACGATTAAAATACTCCAGATTCTTTTACGTTTTTAACTTCTTCACTCGACAATTTTGTAATCAAAACGATTGCAAATGAAGCTTAGAAACTGATCTGAGAATTTTCTATTCAGATTCTAAATGTTTTCTTACGACTCTTGATGATTCATTAAAATTTTGAGTACTATTCGCGGGATGACCCGCTGATAGATTAAACAACTCCCATCCGCTGTAAATGTCAACAGAGTGTTTTACGACGCTGTTTCGTATCACAGTCCAATAACGACGAGTAAATCTTAAGCTCAACTATTGCGTCGCCGGTGACCCGACATAACTCAATATCGAAACAATATCCGCGTATGACTCGAGATAATCCTCGTACGTCATGCACAATCCAATCTGGTTGCGTTCCGCTGTGACGATGATACCCAGCTCGCTAATTAATTAACACAATCCGATTCGACCGAGGAAAGAACCACGGATCAAACGATAGCCTCACTATTCCATTTCTAGCCGCACATTAAACTCTCTCCGGCATCGTTTTGTTACTTTCTGATAATAACCATTTTCATACAAAATAAAGCATATCTTCATCTATTTAGGATGAACTTCGTCCATTGTTGTGCAACGTAGATAAATCACAACACTTCTCATGTGATTCACATAATTCCTAGAACCAGATTAGTCCCAAAGAATGTTCTGATCGAAATT